TATATATTAATGACAAAACAGGGAACCCCGTTATCGACAGCTCCAAAATTAAATCTAAATGGAGGGAATATTTCTCAGAACTCTTGAACACCGCTCAAAAGCAAACAAACAAAGAATTCCCACCAAGTCACCCAGAGGAAGAAGAACCAACCACCCTACCACCAGAGGTCAGACAAGCATTTAAAACCAGCCAAAAAAAACAGAAGCACAGGAATAGATGAGCTCACCACGGAGACCATCCTAGCATGTAGTGAAACTGGAATAACTTGGCTCACAAAAATCTTCCAGAAAGCCAACGCAGAAAGAAAAGTTCCCGGCGACAGGCAAAAAGCGGTCATAGTATCAATCTGGAAGAAGATAGGCAGTAAGAGAGACTGTGGAATGTATAGAGGCATTTCACTGCTAAGCCATGTGGGCAAGATGTTCGCCAAGAAATTGGAATTGTAAACAAGACACACAGTTGAACCATTTTTGAGTTAGGCCAAAATGGGATTTAGAAAGGGAAGAGGATGCATCGAGGCAATATTTGCCCTACGACAAATGTGCAAAAGGGTAATAGAACACAACAGGGAACTAAATATAGCATTTGTCCACCAGGAGAAAGGGTTCGACAGAGTAAACAGAAACAAACTGTGGAAAGAACTCGAAAACTACACTATTAGAGGCCAACTTCTAGTTAACATCCGAGCCATTTACGAGAAAAGCATAAGTACAGTAAGAACGTCAGAGGGACTCAGAGAATGGTTCGATATAACATCTGGAGTAAGACAAGGTTGTTTCCTATCACCACTACTATTTATCATATATATGGATAGAATTACAACACAGAACCAGAAAACGTAAATGAATTAGTCTTCGCTGATAACCAAAGCCTGGCATACAAAGATGAACGAAGTCTCCATCACCTCACCACCAGATTAAACGAAGAATGTAACAACTACGACATGAAGATCAACATCAACAAAACAGAGACAATGAAAGTAAGCAGAAAGCCCAAACCACTCAGGATACACATCAACAACAACTGTCTCAGACAGGTCCAAGAATTGAAGTACCTCGGAAGTATATTCACTGAGGATGGAGGACGGAACAGAGAAATTGAAACAAGAGTACAAAAGGCCAATAAGGTTAGTTACACGCTTACTCCACTACTGAAACATCCTAACATCCCCATGACAACAAACCTCAAAATGATCAACACCATATTCATCACAACACTCGCCTAGCAATGCCAAACATAGACCACGAACAAGACATTAGAGCAAAGAATTACAACATGTGAAATGCGATGCCTTAAAAAAGCAGTAAACAAGACCAGGAGAGACATCAGTAATCCGAGAAGTGGTGGGCACAAATGATGTCTTGCATCACATCCAACACCAAAAAATCAAATGGTTCGGACATCTCCTACGATTACCAAGACACCATCCAGCACAACGCGCCTACATAAACAAATTCTATGGCAGCAAGGCTAGAGGGCGACTGAGAAAGACCTGGATAGATGGAGTCAGGGAAACATTAACCACCCACGGCATCCCCCTGACCCAAGCTCTCCGGCTGGCGACAGAGAGACGTCTCTTTCTTCCCTCGACACCCAAAAGGGTATAAGCGGCGTATAAAAGTAAAGTAAAGAGTACCTGTGCCTCGGCCCTTTTGTGCGTCGGCCCTCTCACCCCTGGTTGACTCTGACAGACAGGGTTAAAGCCCGCCTCCTAAATGATGTAAATAGTGTCTAAGGAGGGGGGAAGCGGTGTAAAATCATCAAAATTATTATTTATAATTAGAACTTCAATACAAGGACAGCAAAGGTTCATTCTCACTTCCAAAACATATCCAAATGTGTTGACAAATTACTGAGCGTGTTTTATAATTTGACATTTCAGGGAACAACAACAATGACCAGACGTTGACTTGTCGTTCTGAATCTTCTCTTGGTCAAACAGGTCCCTCAATCTCCAAGACCGTCAAGTTTGCCTGTGAGTGTTCTCAGTTCTTGTGGACTTTAAATACTCGCTACACTATATTTGTCTGTAGTTCTTTCATTTCTTTCTGTCTGTCGTGGCATTATATTTTGAAGATTAGCGTATTGTGTCTGTTCGGGACTAATGTGCTCACACAGCGTAAATGTTTAGGTCACTCGGTCTTTTTTATACCCAAGTTTCTATACATGTGTAGCACATTGTGTGTGTGTGTGTGTGTGTGTGTGTGTGTGTGTGTGTGTGTGTGTGTATGTGTGTGTGTGTGTGTATGTGTGAGTGTTTACATCCCCCAACTCCTCATTACCTTTCAGTCCCTATTTCAAATAGGATACTTAATTTTTTTTATGCAGCGTCATATTATTTTCCTCAAGACCAATTTAATTCAAATAAAAACTGGATTAACAAGGAAGTATTAGCATTTTTATCTCCTATCTTTTTCTCTTCTTACAGATGGACCAAGTAGTGCTACTTTGACCTTCTCACCGACAAATCCGTCCAGTTTGTGTCAAGGCACAAGTCTCAGTGTTGTGTCCACTTGTGCTGTTGACCAGAGTACAGTTAACCCTCAGCCAGACTACAAAATCTCCGTGAACGGTGTACAAGTAGGCACATCTGTACAGCAGACTCTACAGTTACAGGGCGGAACTCACAACGTCAGCTGTCGTGTTGAGAACTGGTTATTTCCCGCTGATCTCTTCACTGATGTCGCTGAGACTTTCACTGTCAGAAGTTTGTTTTTTATGTTTAAATTTCCTTCATAACTTTCTCTTCAGTGGGGTCACAGAAATATTGTCTGACTGATTTTAATAAAAATATTTAATTCTTTTTTTTAATTTTTTTTTCATTTTTTTTTTTTTACATATTATTAAATATCCTAGTTTTGTACGATCAGCTGTATCATACTATATTATGGCAAAATCAGACTTATTAATCATACATCAACCTGATTTTGAATTCTTGGCTATTTTGAACAATACTTTGAGATTTTACAACTGGATTTGCCACGTGTTCGGTTTATTGCAGTTTCTGAAACTGTTTTTGTTGATACTTTGTCTCTTCGGCTCTCTAAATTTCTGTAAATCATTTCTTTTCTATTCTCCCAGTTCCTCCGCCGGACCCTCCAGAGATCACTGTGAGTCAGCCGTTGGTCCTCAGTACTGGAGAAATCCTGGTGAAGGATAACGTCGCAACTAGTGTGCGGTGTGTGGTCCGAGGGGGATATCCTGCTACAATTGACGTAAGCCTTAGCTGTCCTAGTTCTCAGCCAGGTAGCTCTGATGTGAGTTCTGTGGTCGTAACTAGGTCACAAGGGACACAATGCTCGTGTACAGCCACTCACGACAGTGGATGCTACAACAAACGGAGTGACGTCACCATCAAGGCTGCTTGTGAGCTGTGTTTGTTTTCTGATCTTCTTAACACCAAAAATAATCGAGATGAAACTCGAAACCGTTTGATCCAGATCTACTTTATTTTGTTTCCTGTAATGAATATTATTATATTTTTCGAATCGCTGTATCGTTTGAATAGATAATACAGTTTTTTACTTATGGAATGGTATACACAACGTCTATTAAAATATCACTGAAGGTGCTTAATTTGGGGAACAGTAGCTACTTTAAAATTAGCAAAGTGAAAATGCAATGATTTAAGAACGTGGTTCAAAGGGAAAGTTTTTATGTGTCTATGTGTGTGTGTGTGTGTGTGTGTGTGTGTGTGTGTGTGTGTGTGTGTGTGTGTGTGTGTGTGTGTGTGTATGTGTGTGTGTGTGTGTGTGTGTGTGTATGTGTGTGTGTGTGTGTGTGTGTGTGTGTGTGTGTGTGTGTGTTTGG